GAAAATGGAGAACCAAAGAACGGATGCCTTTGAATCGCGGTGCTGGCAAAGAACATCCGGGGAGCCTGCGCTGCCAGAAGAACCAGCCAATCTGTCTTGGTAGATGTACAGTCAGAATGCCCCTAGAAGAGGGGATGGCAACACTTTGTCTCACATACTCTGCCCACCTTCCCAGGGGAGACCAGTCCCTGGGAAAGGACATCATGCTTGGTAACGTGGAGGAGCCATGAAAAGAGGGAGGAACCTCGGTGAGACGGATTGACCCATGAGCCAGAGCAAGAAGCTCATAGATAGCCACTATTATATGAGCACACTGCTGTACAAAGTCAAGAAAAGATTCACACGCAGAAGAACCCTTCTTGGAAGATTATCAAGGATGGAGGAGAGGAGAATATACATCACATGTGCAGACACATTAACTTAGGAAAATAGAAATTAAAGAAAAAAAAAAACCCTTCACTGCCAACCAGCTGATTTTAATTCATAGCAACTCTAAATCTTTATGAGAGCAGGACTCATCTTTCTCCTGCGGAGCCACCAGGGAAGTCAAAGTGCTGACCCTTTGGTAAGTACCCCAACACATAACCCATCGTGCACCAGACTGTCTCTCATTGGGATGCAGGGGAGGCAATATGCAATAAGGAGGCTGTCAGCAAAGGTGATCAAAGCAAAGAAGATACTGTGGGGCATCAAAAGCAACAGAGATAAATAGTATTATATGCATAAGCCTGCACTAACAGTAATAATAATAATCTGAGTGGATATAGGTATGGGAAGGAGAATGAGACTATTCCTACAAACATATATAGGTTTGAGAGAGGATGTCTTTCCATAAGTGCACATGGATCCATGTGCAAATATGTCCATGAATATAGGGGCAAAGTTATGAAAGCTTCTTACTCATAACCAAAATCCTTGAGGGAATGAACTGCTGATCCTTGGAGTTCAGAGTCATAGTCTCAGGAGACATCAAGGTCAACTGGTACAATGTGATCCACAAAGAAAACATCCAACTTTGATGAGTGTGCAACTCAAAACCAAACTCACTACCACTGAGTCAATTCTGACTCACGAGGACCCTATAGGGCAGGGTAGAACTGCCCCTGTGAGTTTGCCAGATTGTAACTCTTTGTAGATGAGAGAGCCTCATCTTTCTCTCACGAAGCAGCTGGTGGTTTGGAACTGCTGACCTCTTGGTTAGCAGCTCAATGCATAACCACTACACCACTAGGGCTCCTGAGGAGTAGTGAGTGGGGCCTTAAAAAGCTTATGAGCAACCTTGTAAGGTGCAACTATTGGCTTCTCCCTGTCTGGAGCAAAGAAGAGAAAAAGAAAATGAAAGAACATAAAACAAACATGGAAACAATAAGTTGAAAAGCCAACTGACCACATCCACTTGAGCTTCCATGCCCTGAAACCCTGTGCACTAGATGGTGCCCCAGTACCACTGGCGACCACTGAGACACGCATGGCACGAGAAGGGCTTGGTTGGAGTGAGAGAAATAGATGGAACAGAACTAACCATCATAAAACTGGCCAGCAGGCTTCCTGCCTGAATAGACACTCTGGTAAACCATCTCTGTTTTAGAAGAATTAATACCAGACTAATTGCAAAGAGTTGGAGATGTCCCCAAAGTCCAACTCTTTCAAGACGCCGTTCTGTTCCAGTCCACCCCCACCCCACCCATTCCTCCCTTGAGTATCTTTCCTTATGTCCCTGGGTTCTACAACGATTTGCCGCAATGCCGCACAGAAACTCAGGACACTTTGAGGAACGGTCTCATGTGGTATGGGTGCTATTCAGTCCCAAATCCAAAAGTCAGGCAAGGGTGAGCCAGATGCAGGGTCCGGAGCCAGAAGCCCCCAAATATCCAAAAGTCCCAGCAGGTCTTCTTGCTTCTACCAAAGCTCAGTCAGGTAATACAGGCCGGCTTTCCAGGGGAGACGACCATATTTAGGACGGTATGGTGGCACCATTGTATACCCAAGCAAAACGAAGGGTGTGGCCTGGTTCACAGCAGGTACTAAGGTGAGGTCTTCAAGATGCCATCAAGGAAACCCAGGGTGTGACTTGATTCATACCCTTTACTTCGGTCCAGTCTTAATCCCCGCCCCTCTGCCCCTCAGTGGAGTGTGTCCTCCATCGTGAGACTATCACCACAGGAGCATAAAGTCCAGGATTCTAATATATCGTCTAAGGAATTACGGCTGGAAGGGCCATCTTGATGGACAGACTGATGGAACTCCTGAGATGATGGCCTTTAGTCTTCCTCCTGATCTGGAATTGAACTCACCCCTTGTTCAATTTCCAGCCAAACAATAGGCAGGTCAGTAAGATGAACAGTCACAGTTGGGAAATACACACTACTTAGACCAAAATCAACAGGGCAGGATTCACCCAGGGGCAAAGTTCAGGAGGCCGGAGGGTTAGGAAAGAAGCATGGAATTCAGGGTTGAAGAGGGATGAGTTATACTGTGGGGCTTACAATCAGTGACACGAACAAATGTGCATGAGTTGGTGAATAGAACATGAATTTGCTCCGTAAACCTTTGCCCAACTTGATGACAGACAGTGTTTTAATCCCACCTCTACTGTGCTATGTAAGAAACATACCACAACTGGACACTTAAAAAGAAACATTTTCAGTTTAATGCATTAGCTAGCAATGTATCTGTTGTAACATGCACCTTATTTTTTTTAAACATACATTATCTTCATCTTGACATGCATGTTTCTCTGTGTATACTAGTTTGCACGAGCTGGAACAAACAGGCCAAGTGAAACCCGCAGGACATGAAAGAGAACGGCAATCGGTGTTAAGAGCGAGTAATGCCCAACCCTGGGGGTCCCTCCCCAGGCCTCCAGAAAGAGTAGAAACCAGCGAGGCGGCGGTGTGTGAAACAGGAGAGAGGATGCAGGAACCTGGAGAGTGCCGGCCTCCGAGAAAGGCTGAGGGATGGGGACCAGCGGGTGAGGATGTTACGGAAGCATTTCTTCTCGCTCAGGAAATGCTAGAAAGGGTTGTCCAGGATATTGATCTTCATCAGGAATTTGTTTTTATGGATGTCCTGTATGTTTACCTTGCCTGATGCAATTTTTTCCCAGGTGGGAAAGGTCAAGATTGTTTGCAGCCATTGGTCTTCCGTGGACTCAGAGCCGGAGTACCACCACTCCTGAGGAGGGAAAGAGAGCTAAGCATTACTTAGTGTTCCTTGCCCTGTGTAATTCAAGACTGGCTCAACACCATATATGCTAAACTAGCCTTGAGCTTGTAAAACTGTGAGAACCCACAGACAACGAAATGGGGCGCGGACACTCGCTGAAAGCTCACTGCCATTGAGTCAGTTCCAATGTATAGAGATCCTACAGGACAGGGCAGAATTGCCCGGAGACTTCTGAGCCAGTAGCTCTTTAAGGGAATAGAAAGCAGCCGTTTCTTAGCAGTCGAACCCTTAACCCATTATACCACTAGGGCTCTTTTAGATGAATCTTTAAATGAACAGGAGGCCTCGAATGTTCGTTTGCTTACTTAATAAATACCAAGTGCACACTGTGCTAGGGATAAAGTGTTGTTTGGATTTTTCTTTTCCTTCTTAGAGTTCACGTTCTTGAGAGGACAAAAGTTATGCAAACAAGTGGAAAATGGTCACAGATGCAAGAGGAGGTAGGACTGTAGAGGAGTGGGAGAGTCCAAGGTCACTCAAAGGCTCACCAACTGGAACATGAACATGTCCCCACTTTCAGTGAAAGTCCAAAAGGACGGTGGTGACCTTCCATGCCTGCTGAAAGCTAGCCAGGCAATAGAGTTTGGGGGCTTCCTTGGAAGAGGGAGGGCCTCCTTGGCGGGTAATGGTACGTACTTTGCTGATGATCAGCCAGTGTTTCTCCAGAATATTGCCATGGAGTTCAGAAAACTGTAGGGCTGAGGTCAGAAAGAAGTCACAGTTCACGCCATCTCCCATGAGGATGCAGATATAAGCCATCAGGTGGTAGAGTCTCGGGTAGAAGACAGGGCCAGTGGCATTTTGAGCCACCATGCACTCCAGGTTCTGTTTTTCCAAAGAAAAAGCCATACGCCTGAATCACCAGGGGTCGTTGACTGCAAGGCTATTGCTTCTATAGATGATTTGGGAACATTTTGAGGACAAAAGCAATCAAGGAAGAAGATATATTTCAGAGAGGTGCATGACAAGTAGTACAAATAAGGTTATAAATGTCATGTGAAATAGCCCCCATAATCCTTCCAAGTCAGGAATCTGATATGGGAGGGTTCGTCAATCTCCCATATCAGATTCATCAAAAGAAAATAAGACTAGGTTTTCTTCTAGCATCTGGAAATAATCACTTTTAATATATGGGTACATGCTCTCCCATATTTTTATTTCGCTATCATATACCCAAACACACATACACCCACACTCCTATCACAAGTGGAAACATGCTAGTCTCACAGGGAGGTAACATTTTTCTTCAGTTAATGTAATTTTGGAAACATTTTCTAATGTAATTTTTTTTATACCAGAACTCACAAGCTCAAATACTGACTGGACCCAGAGAAGCAAGCTGAATGTAGTATGACAGAATGGGCATGACAAGACGATAAAGCCTGACATCAACTTCAGTTAAGATCCATTTTCGTTTGTCATCTGATTATTTCTTTAGGATATTTCCTGGAGAGAGAATCGTAGGGCCAAGTAATGTGCACACGTTCAAAATATTGACACATTTTGCCAGAATGTTTTCTGAAAAGTATACTAGGCTTCTCCAGAGCATGAATGTGTCTTTTTGTGGGTTTTACTAATTTGGTGATTGGGACAATTAGGCCTTATTTCAACTTGGCAACCTCTCGTGCAGGTCAGAGACTGACGATGGCTTCTTGGGGGTGTGGCCTATTTGATGTCTTCACAGATACTGTGTAGAACCCTCCTCCACTTCCTGCTGGTCTGATTCCTGCATCTGGCCTTCTGGCACTGGGGCCAGTAGCCACCCTGTGGCTCACTGACCCTTTAGGGCTGTCAGCAGCCTGCCATGTTCTCTGCCTTGAACTCACTCAACCCTGTTGACTCTGTCTGCATTGGCCTGGTTCTTCAGTGGGACTGGGCTTGCCCACTCTGTAGCTATGTGGGCCACCTTCCTGATACACATTTCTTTCTTGATATAAAGTTCTTTCTTATGATTCTTGTTTGTTTAACGAGAACACCTAGTCTAATACAGAAGTCAACAAAACAGTGTCTATGGCTTTATTATAGTTATTTCAATTTCAGAAATGGAAACAAAAATCCTGCTTTACTGACTAACCTGATGCATAACTATTGAGTGGATCATCATTCCCTCAATAACTCACACATCTTCTATGTGAAAGAAAATGTTGTCTGGGTGCTGTGGAAGATTGCTGTTGTTGGGAACCATAGCGCTGGTTGCAGCTCACAGTGATCCTGTGTACAGCAGAATAAAATACTGCCTGCTCCTGTGCCATCCTTATAATCGTTGGACTTAGGAGTACAATGTGTCCATCCATCTTGTTGTGTGTCTTTTTTCTGACTGTCCCCTTTACCAAGCATGACGCCCTGACTGTTCCCTCCTGGGGATAAGTCCAAAGCACGTGAGACAGAGTCTCAGCACCCTCACTTCTAAGGAGGATCCATTCTGGCTGTACTTTTTCCAAGACAGATTGTTCTTTGGTCTGGCTGTCCATAGCATGGCTTTTCAGTAATCTTCACCACCGTTCAATTCAAAGACACCAATTCTTATGTCAACTTCCTTAGTCACGGTACAGCTTTTCCATAGGAAGTGATTAAAAATACCCCGGCTTAGATCGGGCGCACCTTAGTCCTCCAAGTGACAGCTTTGCTTTTCAACACTTTAAAGAGTTTGTTTGCAGCAGACGATACAAAGTGTGATTGTACATTCATGTTCTTAAACACTTTTACTTCTCATAATGTCTCCCTCTCCCCTCACCCTGTCTTGGAATTCCAATAAGTCACAAACTACTTCGGTGTAAAGACTGTACTTTGCTCTTTTTTGTTGCCATCCCAATAGCATCTACTATATTGTAAACTGTACAGTCTTCGGGATGGTTGAGTTTTATCAGCAAATAAAAATGTGTTTTCTTTGAATCACCTGCTAATTTATTCATCTGGATTTTCATACATGAAG